TCCAAGCGGCTCCTCAGGACATTATGTGGACAGTCGACGAAGACCTTTTTGATAAGCTCCTAGATAGGACTCGGGATTCTGCCCCAGGATTGGATGGTATTCCGCACTCTGGTTGGAGGTTTGGTGGGCCGAGGGCGAGGGGTATACTGTGTGCACATTATCGTCGCATCATTGACACTGGGCAGATTCCCGATGAATTTAATGATGCTTTCCCGGCCTTTCTTCCCAAGGGAGCGCTTGGAGGCAGAGCCGCCTCGCGCGCCTGAGCATACTCGACCGCTCGCCTTAGGGAACACGGATTGTAAGCTGATTTGCAGTGCACTCGCACAGCCGCTGAATATTGTTGCCCGCCGTACTGTCGATAGTGAACAACGTGGCTTCGTTGGAGGGCGCTCTCTGGTGGATAATGTACTAGCTTTGGATTGGAGATACACCCAATATGCTGCTTATGAAAACGCCCCCTCCCCTGGTATGGCTTTTTATGATATCAAGCAAGCTTTCCCTAGTATCTCACATGATTGGATTGTTTACGTTCTGAACGAAATGGGTATCCCTGGTTTGTATTGCAGCATCGTGAAAAACCTGTACGATAACATGTACATGCACGTACGATTTAAGGGGCGCATTTATGGCAAGTTCAAGGTTGAGCGTGGCATTAAACAAGGGTGTCCTCTCTCTGGTCTTCTGTTTGCTCTCGGTCTTGAACCCTGGTTCAGGAAGATACGGCATAGTCTTGAGGTTGTCCGCGCTCATCCTTGCGCCTGTGCTGATGATCTCGGCATTGTTGCATTTGATCTTGGTGCTGCACACTCTGTCATGGTACACGAGTTCGTGCTGCTCGCCAAGTGCACGGGCTTGTTCCTTCACCCCTCGAAGTGCCAGTTTGTATTGCCGCGGAAGCCGCCTTCCGCAAGGACTGCATGGAAAAACGAATCCGCCTCAGAGCCTCCAAAATCGGTCGTTCTGGGCTTTACCTTGGGGTCTTCCTGGGTCTTGAGGGCGCTGCTTTGAGTTGGCAAGGCCCGTGTCGGGCCCTCCTCCGTCGTGCCAGATATGTGAAAAGCCTCTGTTTAGGCCTTGCAGGAAATATTCACATGTATAACGTCTACTGTCAGCCCGTTCTTCAACACGTCGCCCAGTTTTATCCGATTACTGATCATGTTCGAGTTGCTGAGCGCGAGGCTCTCCAGCAACTCCCAGTGGCTCCGAGATTCTCGCTATCTAGTGCGATTCTGTGTGACCTGAAGCGCTTTGGCATAACCTGTGAAGCTCGTGCAGTGGAGCCCTCTGCTCGTGCCGCTCTGTTCCGCGCTGCTCTGCGCTCTGATGAATTTGCTCGCGGTCGCGTATATCTGGAAGAGTTTACTCGACATGATGATTGTGAACTATTTTATATGAGATACCCCACATATCGGAGCTCTTCTTTCATACAAGTACGTACCAACTTCGAGTCCCTTATGGTCATTCCCAATATCCCCACGGAGCGCACCAAAGGCCTCCAGAGGAAAATTGTGCGATTCCTGTCCCGTCTCTTCTACCCCCTCCCCTCTGTTCGCTCCTTTGGTGCCGGTCTGAACTACCGTTGCCCCCTCTCCCCACAGCAATGTGATGAAACGATGATTAGGCTTTGTAGGATTGGTCAGAAACTCGGTTCCTGCGTAGCTAGCTCAGTGTTAAAAACGCTGTGCAATGCTTGGGCCACTTCCCGACGGTTCCGCGCAGGCCGTGCTGGATGTAGATTTGGTTGCTACGCTGTTGGAGGAGACGATATCCTTCATTATTTTGCGCGTCCGAATCTGATCCCACGTGTCCGTGAGTGCCTTCCATGCCTCCCCCCTTGCTGGGGATTGGATCCGATTCCCTCCTTTGTCCTCGCGCTTGCCCCTCTCATCGAATCTGACGGCCTGCTCAGTGTCGGTCTCGCTATTGATGCCGTGCATGCCTCTTTTAACGCCCAGAGAACTTCTGGGTCAATCGGTCCCAGGTCTGCCCGCCTCTCACTGTCTGCCCGTCTGAGGGCCAATGCAATCAGATGCTCTGTGGCTCGTTCGTTAGTTCGAGGTCTTCGAGGCGCTGGGGTGGACGAGTAGTGGACGGACTTTCTTGCCCTCTTCTCGCCCACTTGCCCGCTTGCCCTCGTCTCGTTCTTCCAAGCCGAGTCATGTGTCGTCGCCTGCGTCGTCTTCTGTCTTTTCTCGTGTTCGTCGTCGTCCTCTTTGGCGTCGTGGTCGTTTCCGTCGTCGTTGTCGCCGTGGTCGTCCTTCCTCCCCCTCCCTCGTCGTCGTCGTCGTCCGTCGTCGGCGTCTCGTCGTCGTCCCTCCTATTTCGTCGCCGTCGTCGTCGTCGTCGTTGTCGTCGTCGTCCCTCCTCCCTCGTCGTTGTCGTCGTCGGCGTCGCCGTCCTTCCTCCTTCGTCGTCGTTCGCGTCGTCGCCGTCCTCCCTCCTCCCTCGTCGTTGTCGTCGTTGTCGTCGTTGTCGCCGTCGTCGTCCTCCCTCCTCCCTCGTCGTCGCCTTCGTTGGCGTCGTCGCCGTCGTCGGCGTCGGCGTCGTTGTGGTGGTCGAAGTCGTCGGAGACGTCGTCGGCGTCGTCCTAGTCGTTGTCGTCGGTGTCGTCGTAGTCGGTCTTAACAGGTTTTGAAAACCAAGTTGCGGGTGGGTGGGTGGGATGTTTGCACGAGCAGTGGAGAGGACAGCTTCAAGGCAGTCAACGTGGGCTGCACCACATAGAATGCACCACAAAGGCGCTCCAGATTACCCAGGCGCTGGACCCGTGCCGGCCCAATTTACACAGAAAGCTCATACGACGAGTGCTTGTCGCAGGAATTGCATCGCATCGAGGTCTGGCGGCGGGGCGAGAAGGCGCCGCAACCCTTGTCGACCCAGACGAAGCAATAGTATTACCCCAGCGTGGACGGGGGCCAGAGGTACCGCGCCAAGGTCAAACGCAGGACGCGAGAACGACGCGAACGAGCACATGGCGCTGGCCTTGAGCCTGCGCGCCGAGAGAAGCCCGAACGGCGGCGGCAACGCGAACGAGACAACCGACATCGTCATGGCCGATTATACGGAACATTTTGTTGCGGGGAGTGTCATGGCGGTCGTGCGCGACCGTGCTGAATATTCAGACGGCGCGCTGAAGAAGTGCGAAGTGTCTTGCATACTTCCACCCAGCGCAAGAGCGAGAACCATGTACTCTTGTGTATGCGGGAGGCAGTCTCTGCCACCTGCACAGCAATTGCTACGTTGTCAGGGGCATGGTCCCAGAGGTACGCTATCGCATGCCAGCGCGGGCAGCTCAAACCGCCATCAATTTCATTGGCGAGGTTACCGCGCCGACTTAAAGTGCTACCAGTCCGAGGTGGCCTGAGCGCCCCGTCCCTTTACCCCCTGCCTACTCACCCCATCCAGAGTTCATTGTCGCGTCAGCTTTCACTCTCATGTTCCAGGATCGGGCGTTACTCTCATATCCAGCTGCTTGCTGCAAACCCCGCCACCGTGCCAGCCCAGCATTGTGGGCGGCGGCTGTTCGAGGAGACGCGGGAGGCCGTCACGCGCGACACCGTGTGTCTCCAGACTTGCGAGAGCCATGATGAGGACGACGATGGGGCATAAGGATGATGGGTGTGACGACGATGATGATGATGCTGGTGATGATGGTGGTGATTACGAATATGATGGTGATGGTGATGGTGATGGTGATGGCGATGATTATGGTGGCGGTGGTGGGCTTAGTGGTGGCGAGGGTGAAGGCGATGGTGATGGTGATGGTGGGAACAGTGAGATGATCATGACGATGACGATGAGGATGATGGACGTGATGAGGTTCGCGAGGATGGCGATGATTATGGTGGCAATTATGATGCTAGTGGTGATGATGGTGACGATGCTGATGATGGTGGCGAGAACGATGCGGAGGAGGACGACGACGATTACGAAGACGATGGCGCCGATTATGGTGATGTTGATGATGGTGATGGTGATGGAAGTGCTGGTGGTGGTGGTGGCCGTTGTTGTGGTTATTGTTATGGTGATGGTGGTGGTGATGACAATTATACGGTGATGACGACGATGCAAAGGATTAGGATGAGGATGATAATGGTGGTGGTTGCTCATGGCGATGGCGCCGATGGTGATGAGGGCGAGGGAGATGAGGACGACGACGGGAGCGATGACGATGACGCTGGTTATGATGATGTTGATGTTGATGGTGGTGGTGAGGCTGATGGTGATGATGGTGGTGATGATGATTGCGATGATGGTGGTGGTGATGGTGATGGTGACTGTGGTACTGGTGAGATGGTGGGATTATGGTGAATATGATGCTGATGGCGATGGTGGTGATGGAGACGGTTGTGGTGGTAATACTAGTTTTGGTGGTGATGGTGATGGTGATGGGAAGAACGATGCGATGCTGGCAATGCGGATGGTGAGAATGCTGATAAGGATGATGGTGATGGCGCTGATGATGCTGAGAGTGCGTGCACAATAGCGATGACCTGGGGGCCGTTCTGGGACGCGAGTAGGGGGAAAGGTAGCAGTGCATAGCAGCCGCCCCCGTTCCATGCTCCATAGTCTTCTGTTGCTCCAGGGTCTGCCCGCCGCTGGCCAGTCGCGGGGGCATCCGTGCATGTTTGGCAGGCTCGGGCTACCCGACGCCTTGCTGGACGGCGCGCGGGAGGCTCTGCGGTCGGCGAGCGTCGCGACCTTGGCGTGGGCTGGCCAGGGCCCCCAGAGTTGCCCTGCCTGCCCCGAGTGTCCGAGCTGCACCTGCTCTCCCCCTTTGGCGCGCCCTGCCTTGCAGTGCCCGCCCTGCACGCTGGGAGGGGCCACCTGCCCCGGCTGCCCGAGCTGCCCGAGCTGCCCTGAGGTCAGCTGCCCCGAGGTGGCGGTCGACCTCGGCAGGTGGTGGCTCGTCGCGGTGCTGCTCGCTGGCCTGGTGGGGCTTACTGCGGGCTGCTGCGCGGGGGCGATCTGGGGCGCTGGGCTTCGGCGCATCGTGCATGGCCGAGGCGAGGCCTATCGCTCCGGGCCGCCTGGTCCTGGTGTGGCACGGGGGCGGCGAGGCGCACTGGCACGAGCGCCTCCTGCTCTGCAGGGTGGAGGGGGCGAACTGGGTCATCGCAGCGCCTGATGGGGACGTCTATCCAGAGGACATCTATGAGCTCAACTGCAAGCCGTGCTGCCAGGGGTCGGTCCCGCCGTCCATCCCAGCAAACGTCTCGCTGCACAGGTTCGCGCCGCTCGGACAGCTGCACGCAGCAGCGGAGCGGCGTCAGATCTTCGAGGACGGGATTGCGACCGCGCAGAGGGAGAGGGCCAACAGGGGCATCGACGACGCTGCTGCTGATGCAGAGTCTGGCGCTGTGCGTGACCGTGTGGCTCTGCACGGGTGGGCCGCGGGCGCTGGACTGCCAGGCGGGCCACCCGCTGCCGTCGCTGGCGCGGGGGGCGGGGCTGTGGTGCCCATGGCCGCGGGGCCGCCAGGGCTGGGAGGGCCCCCGCCGCTGCCGCCGGCGGCAGCCCTGCCTGCGGGTGGGCTCTCCGCTGCGGGCGGAGGCACCGCCGTCCCGCTGGCTGGAGTGCCCCTGGGAGCTGGCGCTTTGCCAGGGGCCGCTGCGTCGGCCCACCGCCAGTGGATCGCGGTTGCCAACGATGGGCAGCCGGGAGCGCCAGCGGTCGGAGCTGACTGGAGCGTGGGCGCGAGTGCGGTCATCGTGGGCAACTTCGCGCTTGTCAAGCTCGGCACCGCGACCCTCGTCTTGGAGGGCATCGACGTCGGCAGCAAGCAGCTCAAGCTGGTGGCCAGGAGGGGCGAGCTTGAGCAGGCTGTGGCTGCGGCGTCGGGAGGCGGAGCTGGACCGCAAGCGGGAGCTGCAGCCGCGTCGGCTGGAGCCCAGCTCAAGGCCACGGACGCGCGGGTGCTGCCAGTGCTCTATGACCAGATGGGCCAGAGGTTTCGCTCGTTCGTCGACGCAGTGGGCCTGCTCGGGGAGCCGCGCTTCACGGACTTCCCGATCCAGGGCCCGAGGACCACGTTCTGGCTCTGCAGGTTCATTCGCGATCAGGGCCAGGTGCCGAGAGCCAGGGCCGAGAAGTAGATGCGGGGCGCCCATGTGCCTGACAACGACAGGGTCAAGCACGAGCATGGCAGCCTCATGGAGATCCTCGAGAATGATCTCACCTATGATCAATTGGATGTATCATCATTGGCATCGTTTGAGATCCTGGCGCGAAGGGTTCAGTAACTGGAGGAGGCCTACACGTCGGATCCGAAGGCGCCGAGTTTCGAAGGGAGCGAGCACTACCAGGGGCTCGGCAGGAGGGTCGCCGCTGTGGCCCCGACGCTCACCTCGCTCGTTGCTGGGCAGCTGCAGGGCGAGGCGCAGATCCAGAAGGAGCGACGCAAGGCCCGCGAGGTGGCGGCCCTTTCGCGCCCTGGCTAGCCGCCCCGCGGCCCCGCCCGCTCAGGGCCACCAGCTAGTCGAGGTCGTCTTCGGAGGCCTTGGCGCCTTCAGCGCAGTCGGGGCCGTCGTCGAGGACCTCGTCGAGATTTTGTTTGAGGCATGGCGGATGGTCGCCAGGGTGACCTACTGCCGCTGCCAAGGCTGGGCGAGATTGAAGTCCCACGTGGCGCTCTTAGTCGTGGGGTTCAGCAGCGCATTTGTCGTCGTGCGTGGGTTGACAGGCGCGTCGACGAGACAGCTTGGGCCCTCAACGAGCTTGAGGGGGGGGTGGCAGCACGCCGCTCGGTGGCCCAGGTGGAGAGCAGACGCGTGCTGCTGTTGCTTTGGTCCGAGATGCTGTGTCGGCCATGCCCTTACCTCGAGAGCGGCCCGCTCCGCATGAAGCCCCCGCGGCGCTTCTGCGTGCAGACGCTCGCTGCGGAGACAGCGAGCGCGCCGGGAACATTGCACCGTTTGGTTCGGCGCCAGTCTCGCTGCCGGGCCGCGACTTGTCAGGGGTGGACATCTACCAGGTTCTGCCCTCGGACGCGTCGCACAAGTTCAAACGGTTTCGCGACGCCATTCTTCTCAGTGGCGAGGAATATGCATTGCGTATCAAGAGCGAGGGACTGTCCAACCTTTACATTGATCCAGTGCTGGAGGCACAGCCCGCCAAGTGGGAGGGATATTGTCGGGATCTACGTGACAGGGGACTGGTGCGCTGGACCCCAACCTACAAAGAAAGGGTTGGCTTGTTTTTTGTTCGCAAGAAGAGTGATTTTCGACTCATATGTGATGCGCGTCGGAGTGACGTTCGATTCGACATCCCTGACTCCATACAGCTTGCTACTGGCGACTCGCTCAGCCGTCTCGAGAGCAGCTCCGAGCAGGCCATCTACTCTGCCAGTTTTGACATCAAGGACTACTTCCACGAGCTCAGGGTCGATGAGGAGCTCTCGCAGTACTTCGCGCTACCAGCGGCTCGGGCGTCGGCTGTCGGGGTGGAGAGCATCAATAGCGTCAAGATCGACACCCGCGAGCTCATCTACCCGTCGCTGCAGTCTCTGCCCATGGGCTTTTCGTGGGCCACGTGGGCGGCACAGCTGGTGCACGAGGAGGTTCTGCGTCGCGCTGGCCTGCCTCCCCCTCGCCTTCTTCGCGACGGCGCCCCGCCGCCCTCGCTGGACGGAGGGCCCGTGCACATGGCCTACGTTGACAACTTTGGGGTCACCGGCTGCGACAAGGCCGAGGTCGGGGCTATGCACCACCAGGCGCTTGAGGGCGCCAAGAAGGCTGGGTTTCACTTCACCTTCACGAGATCGAGCGCGTGAGTACCTCCTTGGACATCATTGGCGTGCACGTGGATGCCGGGAGGAAGGTGGTCACGTTGTCTGCGGCGAGGGCATGGCGGATCTATGCTGGACTGCGCGTGTTTGTGCGGCGGGGACGGTGCACTGGGAGGGAGATGCGGGCCATCCTGGGTCACCCGTGCTTCGCCTTCTTGCTGCGCCGCCCGTGTCTATCCTGCATTGCGGCCGCATTTGCCTTTGCCGAGTCCGCTGGTAACGACTGCAAGAAACTCTGGCCCAGCGTCAAGAGGGAGCTTATTATCGCCGCCGCGATCCTGCCGCTGGTCTACGCGGACATCGCGGCGGGCTGGCTTGAACAGGTTGTGGCGACTGATGCGAGCGCTACTGGTCTTGGCGTTTGTGTTGCGGAGTGGCCCACGCGTGCTATCCAGCTCGCAGGCGTCCACGACGAGCGCTGGAGGTTCAAGAAGGACCCGCAGAACAAGCACAGGGAGGTCGCCCTGGCGGGCTACGACGTCGCCGAGCCGCCGGTCGACAGGGACGGCAACCTCGCAGTTGACAGCGACGAGGGCGCCTGACTGGCCGTCGGGGACTTCCCAGATGTCGAGCCCGCCGCCGTCAAGGAGGCGAAGTGGGCCGTGGTCGCCAAGCGCCCTTGCGGCAGTCACGAGGGTGCCATCCATGTCAAAGAGGCGAGGGGCGCGAAGCTCAGCCTCAAGCATGTGGTCCGATGTGGCCGCTGGCGGCGCAGGAAGGTCCTCATGCTGGTCGACAACAGGGGACTGGTGCTGGCGCGCCAGAAGTGTCGATGTCGCGACCCAGCTCTCCTGGGTCAGCTTCGCCAGATGGCCGCTTTGCAGCTTGCCACTGAACTACGGGCGCAGTTTCGGTGGATCCCGTCCGAGGTCAATCCTGCAGATCGACCTTCGCGGCAGTGGGGGCCGTCAGTGGCTGATGCTGGGCCTGCATGGCGTCCTCCTCCTGGGCTTGTTCACCCTGACGCCTGGGGTTGTCACGAGGGCGCCGGGTATGTTTCGCAGGGGGCCTGCTGGCGTGACGGCACGCAACGTGGCCCAGCGAATCGAGACCGCTCCCGCTATGCACTTGGTCAGCCTGGAGACTCGATTTCGCGCGCAGCAGCTTCTGGTCAGAACAGGAAATGGAACCCCTGCCCCTGATCTCGACAGGGGCGGCCTGGGCCGCCCCAGGGTTTTTTTTTCCCCCAACTTAGGTTCGGCGGGTCCACCCCTGGTTATCGTTCGAGGATTGTTGTGTCCGGAATTCCTGGTAGTAGCGACCATCATATATCCTTATAATACTCCTCCCTCCACCATCCCATCCCTCCCCCCTCCCTTTCCCCTTTTTCCCTCACCCTCCCTCCCTCCTCTATCATCCCGCATCCTTCCTCTCAGCTCCCGCTCGTATTCCACTTGGCCAACCCTCCTCTTTTATGTTTCAGTGTTCTTTTCATCCGTGCCTTGCCCGCCCTTATCCTGCCTGCTTCGTCCTCTCCACCCCGTATCCTTCCTGCTCCACCCCATCTCCTCCCTGTTCCGCCCACCCTTGTCCTTCCTGCTACTATCGGCCCGAATGCGGGCTGGCCCCAATTTTGTGTCACCCCCTGCTCCGCCCGCCCGTGCCCTCCCTCCGCTGATCTCCGCCGCATGGGCAAGTCCAAGATCCCAGCGGAGATCAGGCTGCTCAACCTTGCATCGACGGGCAAGGCGCGGAGGAGGGGGAATGGAGGAGGGGGAATGGGGGATCGTGGGATCGGGGGAGCGGCGGGGGAGGGGGAATGGGGGATCGGGGGAGAGGACAGGAGACACAGGGCGGGGTGCAGGCAGAGGAGGGCGATGTCGAGGAGGGGGAAGGCGAAACGCGCGAGGAGGGGGGTGGGCTTGGTCCAAAGGGCGGGGGCGAGGAGGAGGAGGAGCAGGAGGGGGAGGACGACGACGACCAAGACGAGGAGCTCGCGTTTGCTGCCCCGCCCTCACCGCCACCCCCCCCCCCCCCCCCCCCCCCCCCCTCCCCCTCCGCCCCCGCCCACCGAGCGCCGCAGGCGCCGAAGGCCACGACGCTGCAGGAGGAGC